ATAGAGCTTCCTGGATTGGCTAAAGTGAACAACATTTAGACATCATAGACTCTAGGGAATGACATGAAAATCACTTTTATGGTTATGCAGGAAATGATCCCATCTCAGCAAGACTTACCAAGAGTTAAAGAAACAAAAATTTTAAAAACCTTTGAATTTTTGCAATATCATTCACATGTTTTCTCTTTTTCCACATTAAATTCAACCATCTGAAGGATAATAAAGTTGTTCCATGACAGTACCTGATTATTCTGATTGAGTTCTTGGAGGAAAACAGAATTTTGAGATTTTTCTGCCCTCAACTGTTAAGCCAAGTGTGAACTCTATAGTATCTATTTTACTTTTCACAACCTACCTCTTGATGGTGAGTCTCACATGGCTCCCTACCCTTTCATTGCCAGAGAAGTGGTTGGTACAGGCACAAGGAGAGATGTGTGAGGAAAGAAAGACAGCATGTAAGTGGCCCTGACATCACATCAATGGCTTTATTGGGTCATAAAGTTGTCCTTCACCTAACATAAGGTCCTGAGCACATGCTCTGTGCTCCATGGCACTCTGCTGGATGTGAAGAGGTCAATACCAATTAGTCAGACTTGGATCCTGCTCTTCAGAAATGGGTAGCCAAGACATACAGAATTGGCCTCATGAGAGGACAGATAATCAGATTAAAAAGCAGAGACCTGCATAGTACCGGGGATTAAACTTGGGTCTTTGTGCTTGCGAGGTAGGCAACAGAACCAATGAGCTAAATCCCTGGCCCTCATATGTCTTCTGATGCCTCCAGAAAGAAGACCTGCTGAGACAGGAGAGTTGAGTCTAATATGGTAATGCAGGATTCCTTCTCACAGGGACAAGTGTACACAATGTGTGTGCATCAATCAACTCTTCTTTGCTGTGACAAATAGTTGAGAATATAAATTTAAAAGAGGAAAGATTTAGTTTGGCTCATGGGTTCAGTGGTTTCAATCCATGGTCCCTTGCCCCTGTTTTTAGGTCTGTGACAAGGCAGAAATATTGCTGTGGAAGGATGTAGCAAAACAAAGCTACACACCTCATGGCAGCCAGGAAAGAGTGGGGAGTTACAGGATAAAATACACCCTTCAAAGTCATGCCACCAGTGATCTGCCTTCTCCAATGAGACCCATCTCCTAGAGTTCCCACCACCTCACAGTAGCATCATCAGCTGTGAAACAAGTTTTTAACATATGAGCTCTGAGGAATTTTTAAGTCCCAAACCATAATATTGTGTTATCTTGCCTCAAGAGATATAAGCGAAATAAAGCCTTCTCACTGTTAATACATAAGACACCATCAGAATGCAGACACAACACTCATTTGGTGATATGTTGGGAATTCTTTAGTCTTTGTCATTCACACCTTTGCTTATTAGCAATTCTTAGCCCTACTGGGGACTTCTCAGAGCCTACGCACTGACTGAGGCCATTCCAGCACAGGGAGCCCACCACAGAGCATCAACACTGGCATGAATGGGTGTGGAAAACATGTTGATAAGTCGCTTCTCCAATAGTATCTAACATTAGAAAATTTTGCTTGCTTCATTTATTTTATTTATTTATTTTGGTGGAGAGACCTTCAGAGCTAGACCATTGGATGAAAAACAAAATTGGCAATAAGTAATGTATGTACATCAATAATGTCTCAGGCATGCAGAGCCAGAGAGGTCAGAAGCATCAGAGTCAATATGTATATATCCGTAGATCAACACAAAGAACTGGATTTCAACCTGGGAAGGATTTCTGCACCAATAAAATGGAACTGCACCAAATGACCTGACTTTATATGTTTCATCAGAAATTTCCCTCCCTCCTAATACTAGTATTGCCCCATATATCCTCGAGCAGTTTTCAAATGCCACCATCCATAGTGATAGTGGAGATGGGCTGGCCATCAAGAGTCTTCTACCCTAACTGTTCTGCATAGCGCTGTCCTGACAAGGGCCCAGCAGGAGCCATTACATAGCTTTGGCACTTATCTAGCCAACTGGACTTGGGAAAATCATTTAATTTTCAAGCCTCATTTGTCTTGCCTGCAAAGTAGGAATAATGGGATTCTTTTAAAGAATGATTTGAATGATTCACTAATGGATATAACCCAGTACCTGGCCTCCTAGGATTTTTTTTTTTTTTGTACTGGGAATTGAACTTGGATCCTTGCACTTGCAAGGCAGGCCACCAAACCGCTGAGCTAAATCCCCAGCCCTAGGATTTTCTTAATACAGTTGGGGTTATGGCTAACATGATAACAATGATGAAAATGACTATGATGGGAATGAATTTATTATTGTCTAAAAGGATCTGTATAATGCTCACCTCCATGCTACCAACAGGATGCTTATAATAGTAATGATAAAACATCAAAGAAAAAGGAGATATGCAAAGAGAACCAATTCACGTCCCTTCAGCACCAAAGGAGGATGGGTAGCTGTGTTCCTCTTGGAAAGCTATGTTTCAGTAGACAGAAGCTATCTGTGCTGCATGAAGTATTTCCCATTTTCCCTGATCTTGGTAATCTTTCTGGGTGTATGTCCCAGAGGCTCATTCAAGAATACAATTTGTAGGACTTTCTTGTTCAGTGACCTAATAACTAGAACTAAAATTGCCTAACCTTGGTTTGTAGAGCCTCCCAGGCAGCTGAATGTCAGTAAGTCAGCCTAGAGAGGATACTGCTCAGGAGGTATTTTGGAATCCTTCAAATAAAAACAATCAGACGCAGTAACTATGAAGTATGAAAACTGATAATAGCATGTGTAGCCACAGGAGGCTGTCAAGAATACCTCAGATATGATTCCGGTTTCAGACAGGAAAATATAAACAGTTCTTCTGAGTTTTAATGAGCATTGTCACAGCCTGAAAGCACATGCATTAAGTCTAAAAGCTCTGTGAAGACTAAAGGTCAGCCAGCTCACTCATAAAGCATTGTGTAGATTGTGCCAGGACAGAATGTAGTCATTAGAGTCAATGAATCATGTTTATAAATTTTAGGTAAGAATTTGTAGCATGGACAGAAGTGCTTTCTTGTCACTCAAGAAGAAATACAGTCTCCTGGAATTAGTTTCTGAGCTAGAGTACACTCACGCCCAGCAATGCCTGTGTGTGTGTGTGTGTGTGTGTGTATGTGTGGTGTCATATACTAGACATATGAGCCCCAAAAGGTGGACTCAGGCTCTGTGGACTTTGACATTGTAATGGAGATGCCCAGAGTCTCATGGAACCTCTTCCCCTTGAAGATTACACATTAGGCAGATAGAACAGAATTTATTCGAGATTGGAGATCTTCAAGAGTGCCCAGTTCACTTCTTGCTCTAGTTACCAGAGGAGAAAATAAGCTCAGCAAGTTAGTGTCACTCGTCCACATTCACTGAGCTAGAAAATAAGAGATTGGCAATTCTTCGAAAAGTGTTCAAAGCTCCACTGGCTTCTGTGAATCTTTCCTCAAATGGTAGAACAAGGCCACATGGTTTAGAGCCTCCTAGGACTCCAGATGTGAATATCTGAGATGTATGGTTATTCTGAGAGATGTTGGTCTGTGGAAATTAGATTTAACGCACATTATTTGCCTAAGAAAATCCCTCACAAGAATAGCCATTTCACAAAGCCATGATCAAAAATCTCTGCACGAAAGCCAAAAATAAGTTGGGAAATTTTCACTGCTCTTGCTCTTCTGCTGTGAGACAAATGTTTGAGATCTGGCTGGAGTTATTTTTAAAGATCCTCTGGTGAAAAGTGTTATAAATTCATATTATTATTTCACATCAAGAAACACAGTACAAAGGCAAGGATGTGCTTTCACTGGGGTAACACAGGTTGTCTATTTCTGGAATCTTCATCAATAAGGAAGATGAAGTGCCTAGCTCGAGCAATTTCTTTAAATGCTAAAGTGAGGTTTATCTTTGGAACATGGGCTGCTGCTTACATTTTCCTTCTTGCAGTAAGTCTAACACTCAAATGCATTCAACGGTTTTAATCAATCTGAAGCCGTGTCAAAATTGCTTTAAAATCTCTGAGCATCCAACATATGTATGTCTATATACATATATATTTGTTAAAATTAATTACATCATTTAACATTTCTATGCACATTATAGTTTTAAATGTTTTACAGTCATTTTTATTAATTAATAAAGCTTTAATGGACAAAATTGCACTATAAAATTATTGTGTGTGTGCTGCATTTTCAATTTTACTGTTATCTTTAAGTATTTTCCCCAAGTGGAAAGTCTCTAATTTATAAACCATTCTCTCTCACATAGAGCTGAAAATCAGAAGATTACACAGAGAAAGACAGAGAAAGAAATGTAGCTGCTTTTTCCAAAACAGACCTGCTTCTTCCCCTGAACATCTCAAAAAAGGTGAAAGGTCTCAAGTCAACCCACTTTGGGAATTCTGCCTGCCTTGGAAATGGCAGAAACAGCAACCCTAGCCAAGCTGCCCCAGAGGATATAACCCAAGACAAAAATTACTTTTGCTGCCGTTTGGCATGGAGAATCTCCAACTTCTTCGTTTAGAGAATGTCTTTTAGCTACTATACACACAAATATTCACACACATACACTTCATTATGAAGCTCTGTGGTCTAGATTTTTATATTTACAAGGCTAGCTAGGCTAGCTCATAAATATCAACTACATAATTGAAAAGTTAAAAGAATTATGGACATGCCCAAATATACATATGTTTGACACCAGAAAGATACAACCTCTGGCTGTGGATGGCATGTGGATGCTTTTTTGGAGAATTACCATTTCCTACTCATTGCGAGTGCCCTGGCAGGATTACTGGCAATAAGAATTTGAGGGAAGTTCTCTCATAATCTACAAAAGTCTCGTCTATCCCCTCGGACATCAACTTCAAGCGAAGAGATCAAAGCAACTCTTCTGAGAAACACCTCTTGGAATAGGTTGGATAGTTGGAAGAAAGTCAACTTTCCCAGGGGCTGGGCATTTACACAATGGCCCTCCTGCACACGGAAGCATCACTTACCTGCCTTGTGACTCCAGCCAGGAATGTGAATGGACAGCTGGTTGCCATGACCGCTGGCAGGACGAGTTGCAGGGTGGCCTTTCCCCTTTCTCACAGTGACCTGGTGATTTCCCACATCTGCGATTTCTGTATTTCTCCGCGGAGGACAGTCACTCCAAGGACACGTGCCAGTCCCCAAACGCAAAGGGTTTTCCTCCGAGTGACTTGCTGGTAAAGCCGGATTCCACAGCGAGCCTAGGTGGTTCTGGTTTCCCTCCAGGACCTCCTGCTTCAGGGCTCTACTTATTGGCTCTCCATTTGCCAGGCCATCTACTCCATCTGCTGTTAACCCGTGGGAACTACAACTCAGGTTGAGCGACAAGACCGATCTGTGCATCTGGGGACTGACAATTTGAGGTTGTTCCACCGGGACAGCGAGAGACCTGTCCAAGTAATAGATGGAATTCGGACACTGCCGAGACACCCAGAGGTGGACACAGGAGCTAAACACCAGCGGGTCCTTTCCCGAAGGCTGGGTGTCTGGAGAAAAACTGTTATTTTTGCTGTCCACGCATGTGACCCAGTACTCGTGATCTGTGTACCTCCGCGCGTAGGCCTCGGGGACTTTCACCCTCACCGCAGAGCCTTTCTTGGGGAACTCTGTGCAAGCGAGAGGCCCACAGTGTGGGCGTGGATGGGGACCGCCAGCCCGGGCTGAGGGACCCCAGCGCAGTGCACCCTCTGCCCCATACTTGGGGCACAAAGAGTCCCCAACAGTGCTCCGCACCAGGGCACCAGCCAGGGGGCCCACGCGCCGCGCGGTGATGGTGATGGACGCGAACCCTTGGTGGGGGCCGCACACCCTGTTCCCTGAAGGTGGCAAGTCTATCGCTGGTCTTCGTTCATCTGAAGACGTAGGAATTCCTAGTTTGTCTGGAAGTGACGCAAACACCCTGTGGATGTTGACGCCGCTGCTATGAGGGGAAGTGGTATTAGTGCGGCACGCCCCCGGCTGAGCCATCATCCCACAGGGCAGCGGCAACGCGGCCACATTTTCTTTAGATTTGTTTTCATCAATCAGCTGCGAAATGACTATGGAGGAAATCATTTTTGTGTTTTGTGATGCCAGAGTTTCCTGCAAATGGAAAAAAAAGATTCCAATTATTCGAGCAGCCCATTGTAATATAGCCTGCAAACTCTCAAGGGCCATGAGATGCCAGGGAACTCGGTTCTTAACACTGATTTCTTGTGCAAGGCTTTTTACTGCACACCTGATGCCTCCTCAGAGCGTCTGGAAGGGCAGGAAACCCAGTTCTGTTTATGAAGAAGCTACACATTCTGCAAACATTAGTCTTACCAGTGGATTGGTTTTCTCAGCTTGGTCTTAGTTTATTTAACCACGTACAATATGTCACTGGAGATGATTAGACTGAGTCACCTCCATCAGACCCAGGAATCCCCAAATATAAGTTCATATCCCCAATGAAAAAGATAGTACCATATCTGGAAGTGAGCTGGGACTCTGGAGTGGTAAGACGGTATTTCGTGGGCAAGAAATTAGTGCTCCAGCCTGGAAACAGCCAGCATAGTGACAAGGAACTCCCTTTCTCTTAGGTCGGTCTCTCTCTGTCTTTCCACCTTTGCTGATTTAATCCCTAATTCTGTTATCTCCTGCTGCTTAGAGTCACAGGAGTCCAAATCAGGAGCTAGAGGTTATGGAAACCACTTGCCCAAGCTCAGGCAATTTCCCAGAGGAAAGACTAACAATCAGGTGATTTAACTTAGCAGGATGGAGGAGGGTGAACGAAAACTGATTAGAACTACAAACCTCATGTTGCTGAATTTTAACACACACCTGCATAGGCATGAGTTTTTGTCACGCTCTCAAATGATCAAGGCATTTCATGCTTACTAATCAGCAGACTTTAAATCCTAAATTGTAAATCACTGGTGTTCCCAAACTGTGTACTATGGTTTTTAATAAAGCATTGCATCAGGTCGAGACCAGGAAGAAGAATCTATTCCAATCTCATGTTTTTGGTTGTTTTGTTTTTTACGTTCATCTATGAAGCACTGCAAAGAATAGCATCTTGGTTACTTTCTCGTTGCTAAAACAAGATATCCAACACCAAAAGCTAAAGGAGGAAAGGTTTATTTCAGCTCACAGTTTGTAGAGGTTTCAGTCCACAATCAGCTGGCTCCAAGGCAGAGTGGCATGGCAGAGACATGGTCTATGGCAGAGCGGGAAGTAGCCAGCCTACTTCCACCTTTCGCTTTACATTTCATGCAGACTACAAGCCTATTGGTTCAGGCCACCCATACTCAGGGTGGGGCTTCCAGTTACGCACACCCAGAGCAACACTAAGCCAATCAGAGGACTAATCCAATTATCACCCATCCTTAATCCATACTATATTCACACTGCCTAGATTCACCCACCTAGTAAAAGCCTATAAGTGCCTGAGGCTGGGGGGGGTACTTTTAGATACAAGCCATAACTACTTGTCAACTACTAGTCCAGCCATACCCTAGCACTTAGTGAGTCTGAACAGATCTAATGCCTCCATTTTGACATTGTTATACTTGCCTTCAATGGACTCTCAAATGGAAATGCACAGGACCCAGAATAATACTAATAACTAGAAAGTTCCTGCTAGTTGCCAAGAAGCCTTGCCTTTGGGGTCTGGAGGAATAACTGGGATGCTCATCCCTCAGCGCAGCAGACTTTGAACTCCAACATGCATAAGAGTCACCTGGGATATTACCCATTACAGGTCCCCTAGCTCAGGGATTCTGATTCTGAATGTGAGAAGGATCCCGGCACCTGCGTTTTAACCCACATCCCAGTGATTCTCCTGTAGCTGATCTGAGGAGCAAAGCTTGAAGAGTTGTGAAGCTGCTGGTTATCTCAAGAGAACAATTTTTGTAGGAGAAAGACCTGTGTATGTTGGAGGGCAAGGTATTTGTTTTTCCCAAGACGTGATAAGCAAGCACAGTGACAATGTTACTTTCTTTGGGGCAGGATTAATAAGCATTTGCTCAAATAATTTCATTTTCTCTTCTGGACATTGGACCCTTCAGACCACCTGGCCACCAGAGGGCCAGCGTGTTTGAGCAAACAACCCCAGGTGTCCTTCATACCATCTTCTTATGCATGTTTTTGTTTCTAAAGATCTCTGAGAGGTTGCAAATGCGAAAGAGGCTAGGAGATGGATGAAGAACAAGAAGTGATAGGATAGTTATTTTTAAAAAGGTACTTCATTGTTTAAAAAAAATCAAATCAAAATTTCTGTGCTGAAGAACAAGAACAAAGACACCCAAGTTCTCAGCCTTACTGCTACATTCCACTTTAAGGTTACAGGGTGTGTGTGTCAGTCCCTTGAGCGGGCCTGCAATGTAGCAGGCTTGCTGGGAGCCCTGCTGTGGGGGGGCCTCCTCCCCAGCAGTCTTTAGGTTGCACTGTGAAAACAGTCACAGCTGCTGGCAAAACCCCAGTGCACAGGCCTCATCCCTACACTTTTACAGTAGAATTCTTGGGTGGTGTGGGGGGACAAGTTTTTTTAAAGCTTTTTGTGTGACTCCAGCAGGCAGCCCATGCTCCTGCTGCAGTCCTCCCGCCCCAAACCCTCTCCCTGGAGCACTCCTGGCTGTGATTTATGAACAAGAATACTGAAGCACACCTGGTGCCTATTTGACAGCACACAGTCCCTTCCATTTTAGTTAAATTTAGTTCTGATAATAATTGTTCCCAAGCACCCCACGAGGTATATAATCATACCCAGTAGGAACTGCTTTGACATTGGTCTTTAGAGGAAAAATTAAATACCCATCTTGGAAGTGGCAGCACCAGTCTTATTTTAAAGTTTGGGCCAGTGACTACCTACATAAAATCACACTGGGACATGATACAGATTTGTTGGTACCTCCCTCTCTTGGGCCAGGTGAATCAGGGACTATGGGGACAAGACCCAGAATTTATATTTTGAAATAGCTCTCCAATGTTTCTTCCACATGGATGCAATGGAAAGGAGATTGTTCAGGCCATTGGGGGCCTATCCTGAGCTGTGGCTCTCATGTTAGCTACAGGACAACAGACCGGGTCTTAGTTTCAGCAGGTGTAGAGCAAGAAGGAGAGATGCTTGAGAATCCAGAGGCTACCCCACCATTTGAGTCCGGGATCCCATGACAGCCTTGGCCTTGGTATAAGCCAGGGTATGTTCATAGGTATGAGTGGGTATCGCCTCCAAATGGAACAGAAAAGACACCAAGTCTGGTACATGGTGTGTGGCACTGCCTTTGGGGGGGCCTGCAATGCACCAGCCTTGCTGGGAGCCCTGCTATGGGTGGGACTCCTCTCCAGCAGTACTTAGGTTGCACTGTGAAAACAGTCACCAGCAGCTGGCAAAACCCCAACGCCAAGGCCTCAACCTCCGTTCTACGGTAGAATCCAGGGGTGGGGTTGGGTATTGGCCTGGCTCCACACCTGAGCTGAGACTGCTGGCCAGAGCTTAGTGACTACACCTGCATAGAATACAGGAGCTGGGGGCTGCAGGCCATGGGCGTCACTCCAGAAGGAGCCGGAAGCCTGGGGAGACAGCATAAGGACACAGCTCCCATGTCATTTCCTGGGGCCTGGCAACTGTGACTGTGATTTTGACTACCAAAAGAAAAGGGGAGGGTAATTATGAGCCAGATGAATTTGAATTTATTTCTGAGGCTCCAGAATTGTTCTGTAGGTCAAGGTGACATTGCTCCTGGGGGGTACACTGGTGGCAGCCCAGTTCCAAAGAAAAGTCTATTTGCCATCTCTTCCTCATAGGGGAAGTATAGAGGGCAATAGGGGAGACAGGGCTGAAAATGTCTCTCAAAATATGAGGGTGGTATGTAAGCCTAGGGAGTTACTTTTTCTATTAACCAGCAGAAAGCAGTGGATAACTGATATAATCAGACTTCCAGAGGAATGGGACATGCTATCAAAACTATACCATACTATACCATTTTTCTGCAGAGCAGAAAATGAGTATATTGTCTATATTTAATATAATAAAATATTATATTTAAATATATTTAATATAATAAAAATAATTCCATAAATACCCAATACAGTGACATTTTGTTGCTATGAAGGTACAGTTAGTCTACTTTTAGGTACAAATTCTGTTATTCATAATATACAGTCAAAGTCGAGTCATTTGTTTAATTACTTATGTGACAAATGCTTATTGAGCACTTACTACAGGTAGGTACTGTGCTGGGTGCTAGGGACAGTCCTAGTCTCATGGAGTTAACAGTGTGGCATTAATATCAAGTAGATCATCACATTACAGGGAAGAGCTAATTCCCAGCGTGTAGGTGCAGCTCTGGAAAGAGCCCCCCAAAAGAAAGGGAGACAAAGTGAGAAGGAAATGCTGGGCTCCATGCTCTTCAACCTACACAACACTGTTGGAAGTATAATGTATCAAATCCTTTTTCCTTGTAGAGTTGCATTAAATAGTGAAAGATAAAAGCCAACCTTGGAAAAAGTCTGTATCCATTTGCTAGAGGTACCATGACAACATTCACAGGTGGGGTGGCTTACATGGCAGCAATTTATTAACTCACAGTTCTAGAGGCTGGAAGTCCAAGGTCAAGTGCCTGAAGGGTGGCTTCTTCAGAGACCTTTCTCAGGTTGCCCTTCTCTGTGCCTGTCTGTGTCCTGTTCTTCTCTTATCATAACACAATATACCACTCATGCCAAATTAGGGCCCGTCCTCATCCATCTCAGTTTAACTAAATTATCTCTTTAACAACCCTATTGGCAGGCTGGGGATTTAGCTCAGTGGCACCCCGCGTGCCTCACAAGTGCGAGGTCCTGAGTTCGATCCCCAGGACCACAAAAATAAACAAACAAACAAACAAATCCTCTTGCTAAACATGATCACATTCCAATATACTAGGGGTTAGGAACTCAACATGTGAATTTGGAAGAAGCATAATTCAGCCTATCGCAGACTGTGTGTTCATCAATTGGGTCTAAGCCTTCATCTGGGTCTGGGAAGTCAAGAAAGATAAAGAGTGCTTTAATGTTCCTAAATCAGTTACTGCTTTTATTAAAACTGCACAGATTTTAAAAAGTAATCACTTTTATGGCAGATATCTGACATTGCATCTGCCTTTTAGATTGAATTAACTATACGTGGCTTTACGAAGAGATTTCTTTCAGCTAAATTAAGTTAACCGGCATAAGATTTGATTGGAAAGGAAGAAGAAAATCATCTTGTATTCAAAATGCTACTTCAAGGCCGAAGACAGGTCATTTGAATAGCTGGGTTGTGTATCTTGCTTTGGTAGTAAACCATCCATTTCCTAACCATCACCATCCTGTGCAACTTTACATTTTCTTTCTCAAAGATTCTGCTTTAAAATATTGATTTCTTTTAAATGTTTCAAACAAGATTTTGTAGAGCTGGTAACTGCTTTCATACTTTTATGCTTATTGACTGTTTTTAACTTGATATTTATGCCATAAGGCATATTACTAAAAAGGGCATCATTTCATAAATTGAAGTAAGAAAGAGATAAGGGGTAGATGATCAGAGAAATCAGATCCTGAGCCACTGGAGTGAGGATGATGCTATTCCTGTAGCAATTTATTTCTCCAAAGGATAAGCATCTAATCTGATCTGTACCTTTGAAATCTGTATTTTTCTCTATGAGATGATTTTTTTCCTCTTCCATTGCTTCTCTGCAGCCTAAAACTATATTTGCCAGATAGTCTTTGGGTACACCTCCACATAGATTCACCTACGGAGGTTACCTCCCTGTCCACCACAAACCTGCTCTCCCCCAAGGAGCAGATCCAGAGTCATCATCACTAGGTTATCTGTCAACCTAGGGTCATTTCACCCTGACCGTAAGAGCATTTTCAGATGTGTGCATTCACTCTGGGAAAGAGCAGTGGAGAAACAGGGCATTAAGACAAATGGAAAAAATCCAAGCTCTTCTCACTATCCACTGTGAAATGACCGTTTTTCTACACAGTTACTAAAAACCAAAGGATTCATGCAGTGTAATACATAATAGTGAAAGGCTAGCAGGCATCAATTTTTTTTTCCTCCAATGTTTTCACTGTGGTAAAAGATATACAAAATAAAATTTATCATCTTAACCATTTTAAGCAGACATTTCAGAAGTATCAAATATGTTCATAATATTGAGTGGCCATCACCTCCATCCATTTCCAGATCATTTTTCATAATGTAAAATAGAAATTCTGTACGCATGAAACAGAACATCCCGTTGCCTCCTCCCTATAGTCCTGGGAACAATCAAGAATCAACGTGCTTTAAAAAAGCAGCAGTGGGAAAGGAAACCATGGTATATCTTATATTGTACAGAAATTAAAAATTATAAAGAATTTAAATAAGGGAAATTACTTTTGATGCAATATTGGGTATACATGAGAAGTATGAAAGTTGAAATGCCTTATGCTTTTGTAAAAAATGTATGGGGAAACATATTTCTAAATGTTGCTAAGTTTATATGTGGGGTTGTAATGACTTTTGTTGTTATAAAACTTGGGGTTTTTTTAGAGGAGAACTCTGCTCCATATTTCACTCCTTTTAAATAATCACTTGGCAGAAGAAGTGCCTGCATATCATTGCTACAGCTCTGATGCATTTTGGAAGGAGAAGAGATCAATCTTGTGCAGGCTCTGGAGAGGGGGAGAGATTAATGGTGCTGGCACAGGCAGGGCATCTGTTAGCTTGTTTCATCATCTTACAGCAGCCACAGAACACACACAGGGACAAGCTTTAAAAGCTCAAAGTTAGGAGGGAAATTTGAAAGTCACACCACTGATCAAATTAGATGATCCAAGTCATTCCAGAACAAATATTTAGAAGTGATTTCCAGAGGTTAACTGTGACACGGAAAATGACCAAGGTGTGACTCAGTGACTATAAATGTGTTGTAGTATTATAAGGATCCGACCACACAGCACCAAAGATCTATATTGTTATTGATGACCAAATGCAGATTATTCTCCACATCGACAGGAAAATGCTGGGAATTGCCCGCTCAATGTACAAAGAAAGTGAGAAAGAGAGGAAGTTGGTATCTTTCTTTTATTAAGAGAAGTAATCCATCCCCCAGTCCCTATGACTCAATTCCTTCCCCTCCCAGCCTCCATTCTCAATAGCCTCCTGCTCCTCCTACTCATTTTCCTCCCTGAACCTGGCTCTTTGCTCCTGCTCCCAGGGAACAAATCAATTATAACCACATATATTTATATCCTGATATAGTAAGCTTGGTGTTTCCATACAGAGAGGACGTTGAAGATCAATAACTACATCTCAGGACCCAATTTAGCATCCATTCATCTTGCAGGATTTGGGTACTTTATTAATTTGGGACCATGTGGAGCCTTACTAAATGCAGAGTGAAATCAAAGTGATGCCTGAGACAAGGACTTCGAGGGAAGTTTTTAACCGATATGTTTGCTATTTAAATCTGTTATGAGAGAGCAATTTATATAATTTCCCTTTCTATTAGAATTACAAAGGTTGGCAGCAGAAGATCCATTTGTGACAAATAACAGATGTGTTATAAACTGTGATGTCTGGTACAGGTCTTTCAGGTGAGAAAGTCCACACTCTAAAGTTCTGTTAGCTGGACGAGCCTTCCTCTGTGACCATCATTAAAACAAGTTATTAACAGAAACTTCAGAGCTAGAGTCAACATGTGATAAGTTAGCTATTAACTCTGGTGCACAAAGTTTTTTGTCCTCTAAGATTGGAAACATTGTATTATATAAATATGACCTCTAGTTCTTTTCCTTCTTTCATACCACTGACACTGTTTGCAGTTAAAATGACCTATACTAACTTGTTAGACTTCAAAGTACTTATTCCTGACCTTCAAAATGTTATATGGCACAATATTCTCTCTGTATATATATTATTTTCTCTGATAAATTGACTTTGGCATAAAGTTGATATCAATCACCAGATTCTCTTGTTATTCTGAGAACTTATGCATTGGTGGTAAAAATTACTAAAGAATCATTAAATACATGTCTGGCATACTTTCATACAACAATTCTTCATCATTGTTGGTTAGATTTTCTGTTATATTAATTCACTTTTTGACTAAACAAAAATAAATGCAAACACATCACAAGTTGGCCACCGATCACATTTTATAGTTGGATGCATTTTGCTGACTACTCTACAAGTCACAAACATATATTACCTTGGTGAAGTCAGATTTCCTCTCTGTAACACCAGACTGGAGATTTCTAAATGAAATTTGATCTTTTGCACTGTAATGGTTGTCCTGTAATCCTAGACAAAAGGAGATAATATTGCTACTTTTAGTACATGAAAGGATAAAATGGAATATATAACTTTAACTTTACTATAAAATTTAATGTCCCCTATTCATGTTACACTAGCCAATAACGAATTCAGTGTATTTCAACCAATGATAAAAGCCTTGTATATTTCCCTTGTTTATTCCATTTATACCCTCTGAGTCCATTATTATTTAGTTTATGAGGCTTCAAGATTCCTTCTTCCACACAGTTGTTTATATCCCTTAGTGTTGGTAATAATTGAACAAATACAGCCTTATCTTGTTCTCCAGTCTTCGGTTTACATTCAGCAAAAGAGAGAATCACATCTATGGATTTCCTAGCACCCATACAGTTAAGAAAAGTAGAAATACAAGATAGACTTTCATCCAATCTCTTAATACCAGTATTACTAGAGGGCAATGGAAGACACAGATACTGATATTAAAACTGCTTTAGAATACCTGAGGTTAATTTTGAGATAATTTTATAAGACACTATGTATGTAATCCTTGACATAGGCCTTTCCATGGGTAATGGCCACAAGGGAAGCTAAGAATAATGTCAGATGTAAGAGCACATAATGACAGATGTGCCTACAGAAACACCCAGCCTAAATGCCCTCATACACTAAAGCTGCCCTGCACTGAGCCCTAAGCAGATTGCTCTCAGGGAAAAAGCATACTTGGATGTGAGCTAGGAGTCTTTCAGTCTGCCTTGGACACAACTGACATCACCTTAGCAGTCTGCTCTCAGCATCATAAACCCCACAGTGACCTTATCAGGCTACTCATGCAGAGGAGAGACTAAAATAGGGGGAGGCACATCAGGGAGGAGTCCAAGCAAGTCAAGGCAGATGCCCAGGCTTTGCAGCTCAGGGTAACAATTTTGCCTCCCCAAATTCTGGGGAAAGGGATCTTTCAAAGGCTACCATGAATGGTTCCCCAATTGCTGGGGCTGGTGATGAGAAAGACGAGATTTCAGAAAGTGCCTGTCTAAATCAGATCCTACATTGGAATGATGGATTAAAAATTTTAGGCATAATTTAAAGAATTTCATGGAGAAAATGATATCCTACAGTGTTTGCAAATTTGGCAGATTTGCAAAGGGGTCAGGATGTGGCTTGAGACAATTTAGAGGTCCATCAGTAACTGGTCCAAAGTCTAGCTCCATCTCAGATTGTCCTTGGGTGACAGTGAGCTTCCACTGACTCTAACTCAGATGTATGGCTGTGGTTCAATCTATGATGGTAACTGAGTGACAGGGATGGTTATCTGAGATGATGTGCACAGATTACTTTTTGCAAAGCACAAATATCAGACTTGAAAGGTCTCATGGATTTCTGCACAGAGTTGATGCATCATGATGAACTGACAATAAAGCTGATGAAGACAGAAATGACCTGGCTCTACCTGTGTGGCACTGTACTTAACTTTAGAGTCACCCCAGCCATTGGACCCAGATGGGTCCAGCTCAGCCCTAGGCTGACTGGTAGTAGCTACATATACTCTGCAGTTTTTCATGTATAAAATGCATACAATAGCACCTCTTGCAAAACTGCAATAATTGCCCTGAATGCACTGAGGAAACTATAGGTAAAGCCCTTGGGAGTTCTTAGTTTATAAATGCTACTGGTTGCAGTTGTGAATGTACATGATCAAGACAGCCCTCCCCAAGGTCCAAGTGGTCACTAATGCTGTGGCTTCAGTGGCAAAAAAAAAAAAAAAAAAACAGTGGAAATGGACCACACAGTCCCAGAGCCTGAATCTCAGCTCTGGCTATACATATGGTTTCAGAAAAGTTACTCACTGTTCCCTTATTACTTGCTGTGAAATCTGTGAAGTGGAGATAATGGTAGTGTCTACTTCACTAGGTTACTCATTGATTCTGGTTTCTCCATGAATGAAATCAGAGTAAGAAAATGACACTGTGCACTGCTCGGTTTCCCTACTAAGGGGTCACCACATGCACCTGAAGTTAGGAAGTCACTGTAAATAGTGCACAGCTTCTTCATTTCTGGAAATTATCTTTCCTGTTGGATCCCAGCCAATATGACTATTACCTACACAAAAGTCCCAGACACCTCTGTTGTTCATGCTGTAATACAGAGTGTGAACTGAAGTTGGGACTGTACCTCAGACAACCGCCTCTCCTGGATCTTCCTCTTTCCTCTCTAGTCCTTCCTGAAATGCACCCCCACTGCCACATGCACTCAATCTCTGCCTCAGGCTCTGCTTCTTGGAGAACAACTAGGGGTAATACTGTCTCCTGCTGCTGCCTTAGGCAGGACTCTCAAAGAGCTGTCGGAGAGCAGCACTAACATCATAGAATAGTGTGAAAGAAATGCACGTTCTTGGGTCAAATCAATAAACCAAAAACCTACTGAGTGAGGACCCTGGGTAGTGCTTGGCCATCTATACTCAGCCTTCTGAGATGTTTGAGGAAGCTCAAGTCCAGCACACCTCTTGGCCTTAGACCAACATGCCCCTTTAAATATGGTGAGTCTGAAGGCCCAGGAAGGAAACACAGAGCTTTGATTCAAAAACCACCCTGTGACTTTTAGATAACCATACCTAGCCTGTTGTCATGAGGATCAAAATAAGGCTTCAGTTAGGACAAAACTGTCACGAAAGCCAGAGTGATGGCTTTTGTTTTGAAAAGCCCAATCATTTAGGATGCCACTGTCACTGCTGACTCCCAAGGTGCTTGAGTTTGGTGTCCAGCTTGCTGGTCCTCTATGTCTGCAGAGTGTGTGTCTCTTACTAATATATAAACAGGTTTTCTCTCCTAAGCTGGTTGGAAGGATTGTACTTTATGTCTCCAGTGGCTGCACCCACACACCCAAAGTCATTCTGGCTTTGAGCTCTGTCCCAGAGACACATAGAACAATGAAAGAACCCAGCTGGGCAGGAATTTGTGCATACTTCAGGATATGCCAGACCCTGGGCTGAGAAGCCGAGTGTGAGAGATGCTCTCTCTTTCCAGGAACTCTAAGACAGAGTCACAGCTTTGCGGATTTGGGTCTCAAAAGGCCTCAAAGAACTCTTCCAGCTTGAGGACATCAAGAAATGGGCAGTAAGGGGCAAGACCCTTAAAATGCCCCTGTTCAATGGAATGGATTTAGACAAAAGTGGAAGTAGGTAGGGAAGAAGGCAGCACAGATCAAGCAGATGTCAAAGGGAATGGTGAAAATGGCTTAATATAAAGCATAAAAGCAGGAAAACCCAGCACATCTGGAGACCAAGTAGCACACTGGGGAAGTATAGGGTATAGTCAAAGAATCATATACAAGTGCTGCATGTTGTACAACACTGCTTGAGATGCCTTTATGAAAACAGCAGACAAGCACCATCATGTATTGCCTAATGAATCAATCCATCAAAGTAACATGCAAAAGATGCACGCTGGCCTGTGGTTTGTTTGATGAGCTTCTTTCTTCCCTTCCATATCTACATCAGTCACGCCAGAAGCAGAGAGGTGCACTCAAATTTCCACTTAATGGCTTTCAAGTTTTATGTCTAGGCTTACAGGCGTCAAGGTTTATTCTGTATTTCCAAGATACCTTTGACAGTATCTCTTTTCGCTATTTGAAAACAGATGTTTCTCAGATTCTCTTTTGAAACTTAGTTTTGTCTAATCATCTCTGTGAGATCTGATGTTATATCGACTACTCAGTGCCTCTGAAAATTCTAACTTTGACTTTTGCAAAAATGTGGTTTTCCCTCCTTCCTTCTCCCTTTCTCCCTTCCTCCCTCCCTCTCTCTCCTTTGCTCTCTCTCCTTTGTGCTCTCTCTCTCTCTCTCTCTCTCTCTCTCTCTCTCTCTCTCTCTCTCTTGCTTTTGCTCTCTTTCTAGCTTGCTTGCTTGCTTTTGACAGAGTCTTGCTAAGTAGTCCAGGGTGGCCTTGAATTCACTCTGTAGCCCAGGCTGATCTTGAACTTGTGATGACCCTCCTGCTTCAGCCTCCCAAGTACTGAGATTATAGATATGTGCCACCACGCCTCCCTCTTCCTGCTATATTCCTGTCTTCCAGCTGGTGCGACCTACTTTCTTTTGTGGATTCCATCTTTGATGCCCTCAATTCTCCCTCTGTGCTTCTTACCAAACCTGTAAAGATCCATCTGGCCAAGGAAGGACCCAGGTCACCTCTGAGCACAGTCCTTAGGTTCAGCTGCCTGCAAATCACCTCCAGTGCTTCCTTTCCACAAGGAAACCAGCCAACTCCTTCACAACCCCTCTTCCTTCTCCTCCCCATCCATCCCCTTGGTGGCAATCCCTCCTGTTCCCACAGGTCCAGTGTCTAACTGAAAGCCAAGGCCTCTGCTCCACTGAGTTAGTTTAATCCTCCTGGGCTGCTGTTTTGTCAAGGTCACAGTCAGGTTGGTGACCCCACCACCATCTTCATCTCCTGCAAGATTCTATCAAACTTCTTTGACATGGCCAGTTTGTGACACTGTGGGGAACATGTGCTCTCTCAAAAGCTCTTATGCATGAGAAACATTTCTTCCCCAGAAGGGGCCTGTTAAACATACAAAATCTGAGTACCCTGGGGACCCAAGGACCCCAGGATAGGAACCACCAAACCAAGCCTACTTCTACTTCTGGGACAGAGACAGCTTTACTATCTCTATAGCCTTGATTATGGGTGCTGCCTTCCCAACTTTCCCACAAGGCTACTTCCTAAGTCCTTACCCTTGACACACCAAGAGGTCACCTCCTCTTAGAAGAGCTTCCTGATCCATCCCTGCCTACACACCATGCCCCACTCCCCCAAGCTCTGCTGGTATCTCTTCATTTCCTAGGGCTGCCAAACTGCCACAGACCAGCGTCTTACGGCAACAAGAACTTACTGTCTCAGAGTTCTGGAGGCGGAAAGTTTAAAATCAAGGTGTCGGCATGGCCACAGTCCCTCTGAAGGCTCTAGAGGAGGGTTCTGCTGGTCTTTCCTAGCATCTGATAGCTGCTGGAAATTTTTTCCCTTCCTTGTTCTGTGGCTGCCTCTCTGATTGCTGCCTGCACCTTCCCTGTGGGCACAGGTCTCCAAACTTCTCTCCTTAGAGATGCCAGGGTTTGGATGAGGCGCCCAACCTAAGCCAGTATGACTTCATCTTAACTTCACTATGAAGGCAAAGACCTCACTTCCTATCAAAATCACAGTCACAGGTTTCAAGGATTAGGCCTTGAACATCTTCTGGGGAAAGATAATTCAACCCAAAACAGTGCCCCCTAGCGCTACTGTTCTAAGCATCTGTTCACCACTCTGTCTCTGAAAAATGACAGGTCTTCAGGGGACTTCTGATTCATTTCCCTTGCTGGTGCTGAGCACAGTACCCAGCCAGCTGGAGATCCTTGCTGAGGGAAGATTAAATGAGTACCTCATTTATATTTTTATGTCTGTGGGAAAAAATCAAAACATACCTTCCTCAAACAGTTGGACCATAGTCCATTGACTCTTCAATGCCATTTTACACAGTTTCAAAATCTTTTTAAAGACAACGATGTGTCACACTAAATGAAAGAAAAAACAGCCATGGTTTACATCTATGGAGCTTACATCTTTCAGAATGAGTCAACCTTCTGCCCTGGGCCAAAGAACCTCAAAGTCCTACACGAGAAGCCACTGGAATGTTTACTCGGCAACCAGGGGAGGCCTCTCATGGCTACCTCAGGTGACATTTCTGGTTAGAAAAAGAGCAGCTACCACTTTGATGCTCATATCTGAGGCTTCTTTCTCAAGTAAAGCAAGTTCACATGAGCACTAAAGTTCTGCAGAGTGCTGTTAGCTTTTAGACAAAGAACTATTGTATGCACTGCCTATAGTGAGATAAACATTTCCTTCCTTCCTCCGAAGTTCTCTGTACTTTTTAAAAATTTTTTCACTCTGGTTGATGATGCTGGTTCTCTTGCCAAGCGATACTTCAGTTGGCCTAAATGTTCCTATGTATTAAAAAAAATACCACATAATATCATATACCAACTAATTTAACTTACTTGCTACTGGGATTTGCAAACAGGTTTACTTAAAGTCTGGTAACATGAGCACTTATTACTATGGCCTCTACTACTGTATACTGATCAGTTTTCATGTGATTTAGTAGGACAACTTTGACACTAAATTATAATGAACACTGTCTTATAATTTATATACAACTAAATTTGAGATTACTTATGCAATAGCCCCTCTTATCTTCAGGGAATACATTCCAAGACCCTTGTCCCTGCCTTTCTTTCCTCCTCACTCCCCCCAATTGGCCTTTTCTTTTGAACAATTTCTTCATATTTCACTGTATCTATTATATGTTTTGGCCCTTCTTTACACTCTGTGTCTCACACCAGAGAGACAATGAGATATTTACACATGCATGTCCAGTTTTTCATGCAAGAGTACAGTCTCAGGGTGGATCCATTTACCTAGAAATGTCTCGATTATCCTTCTTTATGGCTGAGTAATACTCCATTATCTTTTTAAAAACACATTTTTAATCTATTCATCAGTTGATGAGCATTTGGGGTGTTCCCAAGATTTAGCTCTTACAAACTGTGCTACTATAAACATAGTATGATGTTTATAGGTATGATGCTTTTAATTATTTTGAGAAGATACCAAGAAGGGGAATAGCTGGGTCAAATGGGATCTATAATTGCAGTTTTTTTTAGGAAGCTCCACCCTGATTTCCACAGTGGTTACACTCTCACCAAGAGTGGAAAGGGCTCTTTTTTCCCACAACCCCTTTAGCATTTGCTGTTAGTTGATTTGTTGATAGCAGCCATTCTTTCTGAGACGGAATCTCAGCATTGTTTTAATCTGCATTTCCCAAAGAACCAGTGATGTTGAACATTTTTTCATATATTTATTTATTGTTTCTACTTCTCCATCTGAGAAGTGTCTATTGATCTCAGATACCCATTTTTTGATTCGGTCTTTAAATCGGGAGGATCTTTTTTCAATTCTTTATATGTTATAGATATTAGTCCTTTGTCTGAGGAACAATTGGCTAAAAATTATTTTCACTATGTAGGTTGTCTTTTCACTCTGTTGGTAGTTTCTTTTGCTCTGCAAAAGCTTTTTAATAAGATGAGACTCCAGTTGTTCTTTGTAATATTTCCCATGCTATTGGAGTTTTGTTCATGAAGTCTTTGCCTACACCAATGTCTTCAAGAGTTCTACCTATTCTCTCTCCCGGCAGATTTAGTGTTTCTGTTTTAATATTTAGATCTTTAATCCATTTCGATTTTAATTTAGTGCATGGTGAGAGACATGGGTCTAGTTTAGTCTTCAACATGTGGAACACCAGTGCTTCCAGCACTGTTTATTAGCGGCTTTCTTCCAGTGAATGTGGCCCATATTGTCAATGATAAGGTGGCTGAGTGTGTTTAGGGTTGTGTGGGCATTTTCCAATGTGTTCCATTGATCCTCAGGTCTGTGTTTTTGGCCAGTAACATGCTGTTTTTATAATATTATGTAGTATAATTTCAAGTCAGAGACTGTGATGCCTTCTACTTTGCCTTTGTTGCCCAGAATTGATTTTGCTATTCTGGGTTTCCTCTGGTTCCAAATAAATTTTAGAAATGTTTTCCCTAGTTCTGTGAGGTATGCTAATGGTATTTTGATTGGCATTGCATTAAGTCTGTATAATAATTTTGGAAGTATGGCCATTTTTACTATGTTGGTTCTTTCTAACCAAAAACAAGGGATATCTTCCCACTTTCTGATATCCTTTTGATCTCCTTTTTCAGAGTACTATAAGTCTCAATGTAAAAAACCTTATATTTCCTTTAGTGGGTTGATTCCTAAGTTTTACATTTTTTTCAGTGCTATTGTGAAAGGTGTTGTTTCCTTAATTTCTCTCTCAGTGAATTTGTTGTGTACAGGAATGGTATTGATTTTTGAGTGTTGACTTTATATACAGCTATGATACTGAATTTGACAATTAAATCTAGAAGTCTTTGGTGGAGTTTTGGGGATCTTCTATGTAGAATATCATGTTGCCTCCATATAATGATAATTTAATTTCTTCCTTTCCCATCTTTATTACTCTTATTTCTTTCTCTTGTCTAATTGCTCTGGCTAATGTTTCCAAAACTATATTGAATAGGAGTGGTGATAGTGGACATCTTTGCCTTGTTCCCTATTTTAGAGCAACATCTGTCAGTCTTCAACCATTTAGTAAAATGTTGGCTGATGGCTTTTATCAGACTGAGATAAAGAGCATCTATTCCAACTTTCTGTAGAGTTGTTTTTAAAAAAAAAAAACGTATGGCTGTTGGACTTTGTCAAACTTTCTGCATCTATTGAGATGATCATGTGATTTTTGTCTTTGGCTCTGTTGATATGGTGTATTACATTTATTGATTTATATATGTTGAACCATCTCTGCATCCTTGGGATGAATCCTACTTGGTCATGGTGCATAATCTTCTTGATGATTTGCTGCATTTTTGCCAGTATCTTATTGAGGATTTTTGCATCTATGTTCATTAGGAACATTGGTCTGTGGTTCTCTTTTTTTGGTTGGGTCCTCTGCTTTTGGTGTTAAAGTAATACTTGCTTCCAGGAATGATTTTGGGAGTGTTGGTTTCCTTTCAATTTCATTAAAGAGTTTGAAGAGTAATGGCATTAGATCTCTAAATTTTTTGTAGAATTCAGCAATGAAGCCTTTAGGAACTGGGTTTCTTTGCTGGTAAGTTTTTAAATACATTTTCAATATCTTTGACTGATATTGGGTTAGTTATAATTTTATAGCTTCTTGATTCAGCTTTGCTAATTTATATGTATCTAGGAATCTGTCCATTTTGTCTGTGTTTTCCATTTTATTTGAGTACAAGTTCTTGAAGTAAGTACTGATGATCTTCTGTATTGCCACAGGATTTGTTGTAATTTCACCTTTTTTATTCCTAATTTCATGGATTTGAGTCTTTTCTCCCCTTTTTGTGATAAAGTTGGCTAAGGGTTTATCAATTTTATTTAATCTTTCAAAGACCCAATTCTTTGATTCATTGATTCTTTGTATTGTTTTCTTAGCCTCAATTGCATTAATTTCTAGTCTGATCTTTATAATTTCTTCCTTTGTACAAGCTTGGGGCTTGACTTGTTCATCTGTTTTCAAGAAGTTTGAGGTTCAACATTAGGTTTTTATTTGAGCTTATTCTGTTTTCCTGATGTAAGAATAGTCCCTCTTAGGACTGCTTTCATAGTTGTATTGGCACTATTATTTAACTGTAGATACAGTTAAATTTCTTCTTTAATTTCATCTGTGACCCATTAGTCATTCAGGAGGGTGTTATTTAATTTCCATGTGTTTATGGAGGTTGTTTCTTTTGCCACTGATTTTCAGTTTCATTGCACTATGTTCAGATAATATGCATGGGATAATTTCAATTTATTTGCATTTACTTAAGCAAGTTCTATGGATTAGTATGTGGTCTATTTTGGAGAAAGTTCCAGGTACAGCTGAGAAGACTATGTTATATTGTGGGGTGTAACATTCTGTAGACGTCTACTTAGTTCATTTGTTCATTTTTGATTTAGTTCTGATATTTCTTTGTTGATTCTTTTGCCTAGTTGATCTATTTATTTGTAACAGTGGGTATTAAAGTCCCCCATTACAATTGTGTTAGGGATTATTAGATTTTTTCATGTTCATTAATATTTGTTTTATATAGTTGGGTGCACTGGTATTTGGTGGATATATATTTATGATTGTTATCTCTTCTTTGAGTTTTCCCTTAACAAGTATGTAGTGACCTTTTTTATCCCTTTTGATCAGTCTTGGCTTGAAATTCACACTGTAAAAAGAATAGCTATCCCTACCTTTTTCCGGATTCCTGTTGCAGGGAGTATTGTTTTCTATTCTTTGACTTTCAGTCTATGAATTTCTTTTTGAGTTGAATGTGTTTCTTATAGGCAGCATATTGTTGAAGCTAGTTTCTTGATCCATTCTGCCAGTCTGTTTCTCTTAATTGGTGAATTGAGACCATTTACACTGATGATTATAATTGACATGTATTGGCTTTTCATATTATTTTTCTGCAGCTGGTTCCCTGTCTTTTCCCTTTGTTTAATTGTCTGTCTTGTCTGGTGGCTTCTATTAGTGTTCTTGGAATTGTGGACTTTGTTATCTGTTTCTAAAATATCGTTCAGAATATTTTGCATCACTCATTTGGTGATTATGAGTTTTTTCAGTTGTTCTTTGTCATGGAAGTATTTTATTTCTCCATTGATTTTGAAAGATAGCTTTTCAGGGTACATCAGTCTGTGTTAGAGGTTGTTCTCTTTCAGGACCTGAAATACTTCACTCCAAGCTCTCTTTGACTAAGGGTTTATATTGAGAAGTCTGCTATAATTCTGATGGGTTTCCTTTATAGGTGATTTGTTTCTTTTCTCTAATGGCTTCTAATATTCTGTTCTTGTGCTGAATTTCTGGAATCTTGATTATTATATGCCTTGCTGTAGATTTATTTTGGTCATTGCTAACTGGAGTTGTTTATAACTCATTTATTTGTATGTCAAAATGTTTTTCCATGCTTGGGAGGTTTTCTACCATTAATTCTGTGAACAGTTATTTTTTATTTTTTATTTTTTGGTACCAGAGATCGAACTTGGGTCCT